TCTCGATTCCACTAGGACAGAGCCACAGCCAGAGAAAGGCAAGCGGTGGCCTCTGCAGCGGAGTGCAGCAGCCTCAGAAAATGTGATCCTGGCGTGCACCGCCTGAGCCAGGCTAGCACATCTGCTCCCCTCCCTTTAGTCTCAGGAGCTGCTTGGCTGAGGAAAGCCCTAAATGTCCCTTTGTGACTTGGACAGAATCTCAGGATTTGCCCAGTTACTTACCATGCTGGCGCAGACCTGCCATCCTGCTACTCTGTGAGGCGAGAGAGGAGGCTTAGGGATTGTAGGCTAGCCTAAGCTACATAGCAAATTTAAGGACAGCCTGGGCTACATAGTGAAATCCTATATCAATAATAATTTATACCACTCCTGCGAGTGAGTGAGTGTGTGTGTGTGTTTGTGAGAGAGATAGACAGACAGACAGACAGACATGACCTAGGTGTGGGAGTCAGGGCAACCTCAGGTGTGATCTTCACCTTTCCACCTTGTTTGATTTTCTGCTCCCCTGGGATTCTCCTCTCTCCACCTCCAGACTGTCATGCTGTGTATCTAGTTTATGTTAGTTCTGGGGATTTGAACTCAGCACCTCACACTTGAGTGGCCAAGTACTTCACCTACTGGGTCATCTCCAGTTATACTTGAGATTTTGCAGCTTTTGTTGGGTTCTTGGGTAGGGATGGGTCCATCTTGGGGCCAGAAGAGACCAGAAAAGCTTCTGGGTAGAAGTAGAGGGTGAGGCAGGCCTTAGGGAGCTTCCTTGTCCTCTTTCACTGAGGAGCTGAGACTTCGTGGTGATGCTCTACTTCCTGTATCTGCAGTTCAGCTCCACCACCACCCTTTCCTGACGGCCTCCTTGGCCTTGGCTATCATTCTTCAGTGGCTGGTTCTCTCTATGACTGCTGTGATGGGACCTCTGTCCTTCACTACAGCTGTCGAGAGCAAGTGGGGGCCAGGTCTGATAGTGCTCCTCTGTGACCCCCAGGCACTCAGGGCTGAGGCAGGAGCATCTTTTGAGCCAGGAGTTTCAGGGTCATCTTTGGCAGGAGAGGCAGAGAGAGAGAGAGACAGAGAGACAGAGAAACAGAGACAGCCCCATCCCAAAAAGCCAGCAGGGGTTGAAGTTCAGGTCACTAAGCCCTTGAGAGGCTCGGGGTAGAGGATTCACGGTTGAAGGTCACCCATGCCTACTCAGCCCTTGAGGCCAGCATGGGCCAGCCTGGATCCCACTCACTACGGAAATCACTCACACAAAGCTGCACGGAATGCAACCAGAAGTTTATTCATGACCATAAAAGGCAACCTAGAGGAAGCCACTAGAACTTTCTATTCAGAAGACATAGCTGCTAGTCAGTCAGAGGCCACACAGTTTCTCATGGTGGCTCTATGTCACCCTTCCTCTCCCCAATGGCCTCCCTTTAGAGGAAGCCGGCCCAGGCTCCCTGGACCTCCAGAGTTCCTCCCACAGGCTTCAAGGATCTGAAGACGAAGAGTCCTGCTTGCCTGCTGGTGTGCCTCCAGCATAGACTGCTCTCCCTTTCTGTTGTAGTTTTGGGGTTTTGTGAAACGGGCTTACTTAAATAGCCCAGGTTAGCCCTAAATCACAATTCTCCTGCCTCAGCCTCCCAGGTGCAAAGATATGACAGGCAGGTAGCGCCACTCAGTTTGGAAACCATGGAGAAAATCCAGATAGATTCCCAGCACCCACTTGGTGGCTCACAGATGCCTGTGTCTCCTGTTTGGGGAGATCTGACACCCAATTTTGACCTCAGTAGGCGTCAGGCACACACATGTAATGCACAAACATTCAGGCAGAACAGTCGTACATAAATTAAAATTTTTTGTTTGTTTAAATTGAGACTGGTGGATCATAACTATAATCCCAGTTAAGGCAGGAGAATCACAAATTTTAGGTCAGCCTGTGCAACAGGATGAGACTTTGACTCTTTTTTTTTTTTTTTTGGTTTTTTGAGACAGGGTTTCTCTGTGTAGCCCTGGCTGTCCTGGAACTCACTCTGTAGACCAGGCTGGCCTCGAACTCAGAAATTCGCCTGCCTCTGCCTCCCAAGTGCTGGGATTAAAGGCGTGCGCCACCACCGCCCGGCGAGACTTTGACTCTTAATAAAGCAAATATCGCTGAGTAAGTCATGCACGCTAAAACTGTGTGTGTGTCTGTCTGTGTCTGTACGTCTGCGTATGTGCGTGCGTGCGTGCGTGCGTGCGTGTTTTGTGTGTATGCGTCTGTGTGCATCTGTATGTGTAGTACATATGGAAGTCAGAGGACAACTTTAGAGAGTCAGTCTCTACCTGTTTGAGGTAGTTCTCTCTCATTTCTGCCACAGGGTCCTGCTAGCTTCTGGACAGTGGTGCTGTGTCTACCATCCTTGTTGCTTTTATGGCTTTGGACTCAGGTTGTCACATTTGCAGTCAAGCGCTTTCCCCACTGAGGCAGCTCCTTCCTTTCTTTGAAGGCTGGATAGTATCCACTATGTGATGACCACATTGTTCTCCCCAGCTGCTTGGCTGTTGTTATTTCCTCTGGACATGAACCCAAAGTGGGATCGGTAGATCTAATCAGGATCTATTTTTAGCAGTGCACAAACTAATATTAGCAATGTGTCTTTTATATTAGAAAGGAGGAAAGCTACGCTGCTTTGGAAGCTGAGCACTTTCTTTCCCAGGCACCTGGCCTGGGCCTGTGGTTCAGTAGTTTTAACAGGGCTTGTCCACCATTTTATTGGTTCCTCCCTCCAAGCCACCCCCAGCCAGCCTGGTGCCATCCCCTTTTTGCACTCTGAACTCCTCTGTGTATCATAGCTGCGACCGGATATTTTTAGCCAGACTTTGAAAAGTCACTGTGTACTCAGATACATACCCGACACATGAGGTCACTAGGCGCAGACAAAGCCCTGGCCTGCAGGGTCATCTGTAATCGCAGAAACAGCCTTGTACTCTGCAGGCCTTGCTGGCTGCCTGTCCACAGACCTGGGCCTAACATCGTATTAAGAGGTCTGCAGGGAAAGTTGTCCCCAGCCCTTTAAAAGTGAGTCCCCTGCCTCATATGGGTACGGAAGAGATTAACAGAGCTCATCTCTAGCAAGCAGCTCTAAGCTGAGGCATCATGACAACTTCTCTGAAAAATGGAGTATCCACTGTCACAGAAGAGCACTTGGCCCTCCACTGTCACAGAAGCACACCTGGCCCTCCACTGTCACAG